AGACAATACAAGTAAGTGTGCACTGTACCTATGACTGAAATAAAAAGTAATAACAATAACTGTTCTAACAGGAAGAATTGTGAATAACTGGAGACAGTACAAGTAAGTGTGTATGTGACTGTACCTATGACTGAAATAAAAAGCAATAACAATAACTGTTCTAACAGGAAGAATTGTGAATAACTGGAGACAGTACAAGTAAGTGTGTATGTGACTGTACCTATGACTGAAATAAAAAGCAATAACAATAACTGTTCTAACAGGAAGAATTGTGAATAACTGGAGACAGTACAAGTAAGTGTGTATGTGACTGTACCTATGACTGAAATAAAAAGCAATAACAATAACTGTTCTAACAGGAAGAATTGTGAATAACTGGAGACAATACAAGTAAGTGTGCATGTGACTGTACCTATGACTGAAATAAAAAGCAATAACAATAACTGTTCTAACAGGAAGAATTGTGAATAACTGGAGACAGTACAAGTAAGTGTGTATGTGACTGTACCTATGACTGAAATAAAAAGCAATAACAATAACTGTTCTAATAATTTTCAGGTAGAATTCAAGTAGTCAAAATAATAAATAAATCACAGATGAATAGAGACTAAAGTAAAATGTAGTTACCAACCGTTGATGATAGCTGAATTTATATGGAATAAGCACTAGATACCATTGTGTGCATCACGATGACAGAGAACAACAACTGAGCTTGTCATCTTAATTGAAAATCTACCTTAATTAATGATAAAGTAACCAAAACATTTGTAGCAATTATTTGATATATTATTAAAAGATAATTCATAATTAAGCAGTGAATTATCACAGAAATAGAGCACTCCTTTTTCTTTTATTATCTTGCTCACACTTTAACTCCTCATTTATTCCTGAAAATTGTCTTGTTCTTCCAAGGGAAATCATGCTATCAGCTCAGCCCAGACCAGCTGGGGTAACAGTGACTACCATTCACTTCCCATCTCCTCACCCAACATCGTTTGCCATAGCAGGAGCCGTAAATGAGTTTGGAGCTCCACAACTAACAACTGCTGCTGAGCCCCAGGAACAGCCTCAGTGGAACCAGACTCTCTTTTTTCTTGGGGATAAATCAAGTTTGTTCACTGCTGAATCAGCCTTGGTTTTAGAATATTATCCAGCTTCACTTGGTAAGATAACAATGGTCCACTCATAGAGCAATTAGATACTGCTTGTGCTCTGTAGGAGACAACACAGCTTACAGGTTACCACACTGTACTCTAGATCAAGCTGTGAAGTTTTGAAACCTGGTTTAGGATGGTTGTAATGTGTTCTTGGTCAAGGCCCTCTGCTCTGAAATGTCAATGGGTACCATGAATCATCAGGGAAAGTTGATAAAAGACTGCAACTAGCTCCATATCCAGGATCAGAAACAATGCTCTGACATGTAGTTCAGCTTCCTGCCACAGAAACCAAACTGTTCTGTTGCTAAATTGGCTATAGGGGAATCCTTGTTTACAATGTTTGCCTCATTAGCGTAAGCAATTCAGTTTCTGATGGAGCTAAAAATAAATCAGTTCTGAATATCGAAAGGTCAAAGTACGATTAACTCGGCCAATGAATACGAGCCTGATGCATTGAATACTTTTTGTGCAACACGGGTTTAAAAACTCAAAATTTTACATAGAATGTATGAGCTCATTAGCGCTTTTGCCACCCAGAAATTTTGCAGTTTTTGATGGACTATTTCTCCTTGAATATTACACCCAAAGAGCTAAAAATTTCACCATGTACTAAGGTTTTCTAGCTCTTTAGCTGCCTGAAGTCAATTTGTATCTAACATGCTTCCTTCTTTATGCAAAGCCGTGTGCAAATGAGCAAAAATGTAAACAATGACGTCAGCATGAATCCGCCTATAGGAGTGGAAAGAGATTACGTAGCAATCCACTTAGCTTTCTTTACTGTAAGTGCTGGCCTTTGTGGTGAAATCAGGTGTGGTGAGCCACTTGAGCTTGTAAACATACTTGACTAAAGTAGCTACTGTTGCTTGTATTAATAACAGCAATGTCCAGAGACTGTTGGCAGCTAACAAGCCCTGTTTGTTACTCCTACCAAACAATGGATCAGTTGCTGCTGTCTAGCCTGCAGTGGGACAGTGCAAAAATGGGCCTAAGGGTGGACAATCTGCCAGTTGAGGTAAATTACAAGAGGCTCTCTGGTGAACCATGTCTCATGACCTTATCAGGGTAACAAAGGATTGATAAAAATAATCTGATTTGTTGCACGGATTTGAATCTCTCGCCCTCTGATTTCATGGTCACTTTTTACAACAAAATTACCATGACATAGGAAAGTTTGAGGTTTAAGTCATAGAGGGCTCAGAATTTTTTTTTTCCCAGCCCTTGTGACAACTTTCAAACATCTTCCCTTTCATTCACTCTAAAGGCAAGATAGAAAATTGAAACAAACTGTTCACTAAACTTAAACCAAGGATGCATGAACTAACATTCGAGAAGAAGTTTAAAAAAACTTTCACCACCTTCAGCAAGAGTACTCAATTCCCGTTGAATTATTTCATCAATGCTTTTAATCACTTTGTTATCTATCCTTCAAATCATAGAAGAATCTGTGGACGTAAGTTTGCTCTTGGTTTTAAAATTTCCGTTACCTGGCATAAAGGAAAACTTGCTTGTTTTTGTTATGTTTTAAAGGGTTCCAATCTGAGAACTGCGGTTGGCTTAGGTCCTACAGTTAGCATTGTACTCAGACTTGTCACAGATGAGGTATGTGGAAATATTCTTTTACAGCCGACAAAGAGTTGATTTAGCATTCTCTAGCGGGGCCTGACCAGATGTTTTATGGTCAATTTAGGAAGGCTAATCAACCAACAGTTGTTTGATTATAAAGGATATGTAGAGTCTGTCTATTAGTGCAATGAATATACTCTTAAGGTGTGTTTCATACGTTGTTGCTTGAATGAGTTGGTTAAGTATCACACTAGCATCACAAACTTCGCCAGTATGCTTTTGTTACATACAGGATCGTTTTGTTGCTCACACCTGTCTTTGTCTTACAGAAACCTGACCAGCTGTGGTCTGCTGCCCACTTGTCCTCATTACCGGTTTTCAGGGAAGGACCTCAAATATCAGATGATGGAGAGCCCTTACAGTCAGAGAATATGAGGAAGGCAGAACAGGTGGTTAATTCAATTTCTTCTTTTTTGGATAAAAGAGGGTCGACAACTTTTCACGGGTTTAGGCTGAGTAAAATTTCTAAATCTATGAAAGGAGTGAAACTGATGACTCCTTCCTTTTACCGTTCAGATGCCAAGTCATTAAGCTCCAAGGACCTCACGGCTTGCTATACCACCAGGCTTTTAATGAAATAAACTGGTTGCCAAGGCTAGGGAAACGGATGCACCATCTTGAGCCACAGGTGTTAAATCCAATAACTTGTTTCTGTGTTTCTTTTCAGACACACTATGGTCTTCCTCCAATGAATGCGGTCAAGACAATTTTGCCACAGTTTCATTCTTTATACACTGCACCAAGAACTCTACCTGTAAAAGAGTATGTCCCACTGGGGAAATTATCACCTCAACAAGGGTGAGCCGGGTTTTAGTGAAGTATTTAAGATGTAGAAGGGGGGCTGATATATTATGGTGAAATCATGACGTCAGTTCTTTAATCTCTATCCAAAAGACCCCTCAGGATTTAAAGAAGAATTAAAAAAAAAATTGAGAGAAGGGAACGGCGACTTCCTTCCCTCCCCCTTTGTGTATCTCTGAAATGTTGATTATTATGTCGGATATTCATGGTGTACATTAAAAGGATGCCAAGCGCAGATATTTTCGTCATTGAAAATTTAATTTTATTCTTGACCTTCAATTAATTTTTGAAGTCGCCTAGTACAAAAATTTCCGTGCAGTCACGAAGTGGTATGAATTATTCTGTAAAATTTAAAAAATCATTTTGTGTAGCAACATGATAATATATCTACTCGCGTACGATGTGTAGCACCGCCTCACCCCTCCCTTCCACACTCACGCGGACACAGCGGGGGTGGGTGGGGATCTTTACGGTCTTATTGAGGCCAAGACAAACGAAACTCCTTAATCTTTAATCCTGCAAGCTTATTTTGCGAGGTTCACATTAGATCCTTTCTTTATTAGAACAAATGATGCCTCAGGATCAAGTCAGATTCCTCTGGAGGTGAGAATTTTTCACAAACAGACGGAAGCCTCCAATCTCCTTCCGCTGATTATGTTATTTTGCACATGATTTTGGGGAATAAAACAAGAAAGCAAAGTAACGCAAAGAAATGTATAGTTAAATTACTATTGTAACTCTGTAGTAACACTGCATATTTTATTTTGTTTCGTGAAAGGTAAAACCTTGATGTAGCAGTATACTTATAATGACTGAAGATTATCTGTTACGGTCCAATTGGCCTTGTCTATGTTAAAGCAACCTGTAATGCAGTGTTTTATTTTGAACAGAACGCAGTACTGAGAAGTTGATGTGGAAGTTGTTTTTTTCCCTATGTTTTGGTTGTTTGTGAACGTTTCTTCATTTTTAGGTCAGAGGCAAGCTTGACGCCAACAGCCTTGCTGTCATGGATTACCAAATGAAGGTATGAGGGGTCATTTCAATATCCAAAATATAGGTTAAGATTCAGTGTTTGGTATTGTTATCATCGATAGTGTATACGTACACAAATATGCTGATGATTTGCAGAAACAAGTGTGAAAAAATGTCCTAGAAATAATTAGTGCCACATTCTCAGCATCGACAACACAAATGGTTGTTTTCAGAGAATTGCATTTCTAGTATCTCAATTTACATTAATATTAGAAATTTTATCATTTATTATTACAAATATTATTAGAGAACTAAAGCACAGGTGTTTTTAAGACGACGTGGGCAGGTGAAAGTAAAGAATTCTTTTCCCTGACGCGCACTAAAGAGCTTGGTCTGTACTGTTTAGTTTAAAATGCTAAAACCATGGCTGTCCAGTTGTCATGCTGATATCGAAGCAAGTCAGGAGTATTTGAATTCTCCTTTCACTCGATGTTTGTGTCCGTGAAAAATAACTGTGCTGAAGTTCCATCAGTTCTAATGATAGTAGGGAGTGTTCTGTAAAGAATCAAATTTATAGATCTGTCTTTACGTATGATGCACGATCCTCGCAGTAGAGAGCGCTATTTATGCAATAGCGAAAATCAGACCTGAAAAAAATCAGGCCTGTACGGTATTCGAACCACTGACCTCTGCAATACTAGTGCAGCGCTCTCACCAATTGAGCTAACAAGCCAACTGGGAGCAGGCCGTTAAGTTGATTCGTAATAAACCCGTGATGATAAGTCAGATACAATGTATATATGAAGTTCATATGTTTTGAACTGCGGTATTAGATACGTATGATGCACGATCCTCTCTACTGTGAGGATCGTGCATCATACGTATCTAATACCGCAATTCAAAATATCTGAACTTCATATATACATTGTATCAGATCTGTCTTTTTAAAGTACATAGAGGGAATATTATTAGCATTTAGACCTGTTGCGGATTGCAATTTAGTAATCTTCTCATGGGGCTTACAGGAGGTGGATCGCTACAGAACAGCAATGAGGAAGATGGCAGCCGATCTCCTGCATGTGCGAGAGGATTGCAAACGTTTAGAGGTGATTACGTGTTGAGTATAAGGAACCTTCTTCTTTTATAGTAAGAGAAGTTGATAATTTCAACTCGTTTGCACGAGTCCAGCCCAACGAAACGTTTTAATTTCAACCACTTTTTTATTCGAACAGGCTTACGTGTATCTAGGTTCCGATAAATCTTTAAATTATCAAGGGGTTATTAAGTTAAGAGAGAAAATCCCCTGGAATGTAGGCCTTATTTCTCAATTGTTTTTCTTGGATCGTTTTCGAGGTCGGAAATTCTAGTTGCGTGCTGCGAGTTTTTCTCTTGCGCACAAGTTATGGCACAAGCAAGTCAGGTGGCCCAGGACGAATTAGCTGCGCTGTAAAGCGGTCTTAGGTTTATACTAAGTTGTAATCGATTCTTTCAGGAAGCCAACAGTAGGCTAAGGAGAGAGTTGGGCCAACATGACGAGATATCCAGGTTGATGGTCAGCTCCAAAGACTTGGATAATGTAACACATTCTGAGCTGGTACAGAAATTTGGTAAGAGATACCTTTTTATCAGTCAGCAGCTATGAAAAAAAAAGTTCGTCGTTGCCAACGACAGCGTAAAACAACTACAGTTCTGTTGAAGTCTTATTGTTATTAGCTTGAAGTCTATTTAAATGAAGAGCAACTTACCTTGACCATCTCTCAGCGTAAAATAGTATTGAAGTTTCTTGTTTTATTTCGTAAGTCATGTTGAGCAAAATGTGTTCCTCTTTTTACTTGTTAGCTTACCTTTTCTTGCTGACATTAAATTCAGATTTTTTTATCACCAAACGGTAGCAATATAGTAATTTTCTGTTTTCATCTTGTAATTGTGCCAGTGTTCTTTGGCAATTACTTGGTTACGTCTGTGTGTTTGACCGGTTTCATTCTGTCGCGGACTGACACAGCAACAGAACTCTCTACTTTTTGAATTTTTGTACTTGCAGTGCTTTTGAAAAAGAAGTTGGCAGATGAATCCGCAAAGAAACAAGAAATGAATTCAAGACTTCAGCATCTTCAGAATGATCTTATCAAGGTGCATTTTGTCTCTGATTTACTCCTAATATCCGATCAGTGATTCTCAGGTATTCTAGCTGCTATCTTCTACCTTACTCCCTGTTTGTTTGTTTAAAATTCTTAGCAATGACATGTTTATTACTTCTATGCACAAAGGGCTACGTTTGAAAACGTAATATCAATCAGAATTAGTATGTGATGTATTGACAAAATCATTTCTTTGCAGAAAAATGAGATGGAGAAGGATTTTTTGAAACTACAAGAAGCTCACGAAGGGCAGCAGGCACTTCTACAAAAGTTACAGGCGAGTGGGATTTACTATGACATATAAATGTCTAATTTTGTTTGTTCTGTTGCATTTGAAAAAGAAGTGTCGGTAATCTGTCAACATAACGTAATTCAACGTACCGTAACATAGCTTCGCTTAATGGTGTCAACCCTAAATAACGCGCTCTCCAAGAATGCAGTGTTCGCTCATGGTCTAGAATTCTCGAAATAGGATGGAGAATAAACTTTAAAGAAAAAAATGCCTAACTGCATCTTGAAAACTTTGTAGTGTAGCGGAATTTATTCTAATTACCTAGGTCAAAAAGTTTTGTCGGTGCAATCGTAGCGTCCAATTGTCTTTGAAACTCACACACACATTCTTCCACTTACTGCTCTGGTCTTTGATTTTAATTGCGTCACTGTATTTCGTTTACAAGATATTTACAAACTGTATGTTTGGTTTTAAAATTCTGAACTCGAATTTCTGCGCTGACAGGGAAAGGTACAGAAGGCACAGACGATTCAAGATACCTGCAAAAAACAAGAAAAGGTGAGAAATTATTGAGCATGTTTATTAGACTGAGTGAGTTGTAATCCTTTTTGAAAAAGGCTACAATTCATGTTTAAATGTGCATTTTTTTTGTAGGTTATTGTGCAACTTGAGCAGCTTTTGGCCAAAAAAGGAAAGGGACCTTACAATGGAGGTGAGTTATCTTTGAAACGCATCAGTTTATCATAGCCGGTTACATTTCTTATCTGTTTGTTTCAAGAAACTCGTACGAGAATGATTTTAAAAAAAACGTAGTTGTGTTACAAGGGCGAGTCTAAAGGTGCAAGTTATTCGTTTTCGAAGAAACTATTTCGTTACGACTTAAGGAGTCCAGTTTCGACAATGCACACAAAATGGTTGTCTTAAGTTGGTGGCATAAAACGAAACTAAATTTGTAGCTGCTGATCACTTGCGCTTTGTACCTCCCTCCTCCTCCACCACACCAATATACCCAACATGATGTCACCCATGTTACCTCCCTCCCCTCTGGCTTACTTTTTCCTCGGAACCCTCCCGTAGAGAAAGAGATCTTTATGACCTACAGCGCACTAATCGCTGGTTAAATCGGATCTACTCAAAAAAGGCAAAAATGGCAACATTTTTAAAGTGACATGTCATTCATTGCCGCGAGCGTGAGGCAAAAAATAAAAATTCCGCTTTATTCGGCGACGAGCTCAAAATTTGCCGTCTTTCTCTATACATTTAATTATAACATTACCAAAGTAAAGCGCGCGCTCTGATTGGTAGACTCAGCTCCACCATTTGCCCATGGGTGTACACAGCTGACATGAGCAAATGCAAAGACTAGTTTTCCGCTCGCGCTTTTTTTTTGTGGTCACGTAAGATTTGTTAAATAAAAGAAAACTCTTTTGATACAGTGTATCAATGTTATGTTAAAAGACAAATGGTAAACGCCACAGTGTACACTATTGAGTTATGGATGCACTTGGGAGGTTTGCTAAGCACTCAAGAAGCTAGAGTCGCTCTCGGCTATCGCCTCGCGCGAATCTTACGCTTCCTTCGTGCTTAGCAGCTTCCTGCATGCATCCATGACTCAATAGTGCATGCTGTGGTGTTTACCATTTGTTGACAACTATAATCTCGTACTAGTCTCTACAGAAACTGGCGAGTCTTACAGAACACTCAATGAAGAGAACATCAGACTACAGGCAGAGGTTTTGCAGTACAAGGTAGTTATATGTTACATATTTTTTCAGTTTAACCTGCTTTAGTGATGCTAAACGCTACATAGTCACCAAAGAAATCAGTCTGTTGACTCCTTTGGAATTTGGTCAATTAAAATGAAGGGAATGTGAATTGCCAATCTAGTCTCATCTCATGTTCGAAATAAGGATTCCATCTAACTCATTCCCCAGGAGTACATCAAAACGGGTCAGCTCATTACATCCCAAAAAACCCATTGTCAAACTTACTATCCTATACGAGGCCCAGTTTTCTCTCTTTCTCCCGTCAATATAGTCTATATATGTATATAATCTATTGATCAAGTGCAAGGGTAATAAAATTGGATTTTGTCCACTGATTTTAGCGGTAGAAAGAAAGCTACTAAATATTTTAATTTTGTCTTTTAATTAGGAGCAGTTGAAAGCAGCGGAAGCCAAGCTGAAGAAGCCAAGGTATGTACACCTAATTTTTCAATACACACTTTCTGCGTCAACTGCTGGTCTGACCGCAACCCTCGCCATCTTACATCGTTCATTGATAATCAGCTTTCCTCCACTTTTGAGAACTTGTCACTTTTGAGAACTGTTCGAAATTTGGCTTTAGCTAGAGATAATTTCTTGGACCTCTCTTCTTATTCTCTGGATTAGTTCTCATTCGCCGACGCAAAATGTCAAGTTTTTCAGTTTCATCCGTTGAGATTGTTAGTTTTAAAGTTGTAAGAGATAAAGTGATTACAAAGGGAACGGATGTTTGGGAGACTGTTACAAATGTAGCGCGGGAACTGAACCTCCCATGAGACTATCAGTTGAGGAGGTTACGTTATGGGAGCTGACTGCTGGTCTGAATTTGTTGCAGATCTCCAGGAGAACAACAAGTGATTGGTACCAGTGTAAGTGCGTCATTCTAGAACCAAACCCATTTTTTTGCTACTTTATTGTCAGCAGGGAATTATTGTTGTTGAAACGTAAAGCATTCATCAAGAGGGCCATGTTCTAGATGTGGTTTGCAAGTGTTTTGGCTTCCCTTTCATAGTGGAAAAACAAGTTCTTTGAAAGTGGTGTAAAGTTTGAATTGAAAATTGATTAAATTTACAGTGCGCCCGTGACCGAAGGTAGCTTTTAAGTAAGTTCAATGTTGATACGTTGTAATTTTGTAATTTCTCGTCGAAGATCAAGAAATCTTCCTGGTCATATGCGTGGAGGTAAAAAATGCAGATGGATGACAATATCTCCGACAGTTTATGGACTCCCTATTTTCGTTGATAGGCCAATGTCTTAAAAAAAAGGAAAGAGACTTGCATTGCGCAACAGTCTAATTGAATTGTCTGTTGACAGAACGGACCGATGTCAGATATGGAACGACTGGAACTTTTTGAAAAACTGGAGAAAGCAGAGGGACGGATTGTTGCTCTTGAAAAACAGGTGAAGTAATCAGCTGCATTGTTTCACGTGTAGGAAGTGTGGAAGTCGACCCTGCTTTATCTGTCAAAATTTTATAACATAATTGTCCATTTTATCCCTTGCTATCCTCTACAAACTCCAGGCAGTCATTTGGGTGGGAAGACAGTAAAACTGTTTGTTAGACAGACAGTCAGGTTGGATGGCTGGCTGGCAGACGGTAGGCCGTCAGACAGACAGACAAACCGACAATGAATAACTGGTAAAAAAAAAAATTGCTCAGAGATGTTATAATCTTAGCTCCAATATGGTTTTCACAATGTCCTTTCGTTGGTAACCAATGTAAAGTGAAATGTTTTTCCTAAAAATCTCTGTAGTTGGCAGATAACGTCAGAAAATGGGCAAAGGATAAAGCCGAGCTACAGGTGACAATTTTTTTTCTTGATCCTTTTAGGAGCAACAGTAATGCTTATTTTTGTTCTTTGGCCAAGTATTCTTTCGATCCGCCGTTTTCTTAGTTTCTCCATAGCTATTTAAATTCCCAGTTACCTATTTTGAAGCTCTTCGAGGCGTATGCTATCTAGAAATTGCTAATGATAATATCAGTTTTGCTGAAATCCCTTTATAAAGGAAGAGAGATGCCAGTAATGATGTATTATTTCATAAGCAGCTTTGTGTTTGATTTTCTCAGATGAAATTAAACGAAAGTCAGGTCGCCCAGAGGACAGGATACAAAAATTCGTCCACAGCTATTGATGTTCTAGACTGGGTTCGTATTAGTTTCTTCTTCTTCTTCTTCCTCTTCTTCTTCCTCTTCTTCTTATACTACTTCTTCTTCTTCTTTCATCTTTCTTCTTTCTTCTTTCTTCTTTCTTCTTTCTTCTTTCTTCTTCTTTCTTCTTTCTTCTTCTTTCTTCTTCTTTCTTCTTCTTTCTTCTTCTTTCTTCTTCTTTCTTCTTCTTTCTTCTTCTTTCTTCTTTCTTCTTCTTTCTTCTTCTTTCTTCTTCTTCTTCTTCTTCTTCTTCCTCTTCTTCTTCTTCTTCTTCTTCTTCTTCTTCTTCTTCTTCTTCCTCCTCTTCTTCTTCTTCTTCTACAGGGAACTTTTGTTAGAGTTCAAAGAAAATGATTGCATATATACGAGAAAAACTTGTGCCGATTCTGAAACGTTTCCTCAGATTTTTAGTAATATGAGTGTTATTGCTAGTTTCTCCCACACATTCATCCTCTTGGTCCCAGCTGGAATATGGGGTCTTCCTTCTATCTGGACCTTTGCTTTTGTCCTAACCAAGTGGAAATAGTCTTGGAAATTTGTTTCCTTGAAGATCGGTTCGTTGTTGTGATCGACGAAAACACTTCTCGATACTTTCCTGTAAAAGATAGTTTAGCTGTTTGGGCAAACGAAACTCGATATTATGAAATCCAGAATAAAAGTGGAGCTCTTACCGCTAGGACCAACTCTGAATCCAACCCGACGTTAAGTGGTTTTATTTTTCTGCAGCATAATGGATCCAAGCCAAATTCACCTTCAAGACATTTGGGTCCGCGAAGACGGTCACCTAAACTGGATCCTTTGGAGAGAAGATAGCAATTAGAACCGAGCCAGTCTTAATGGATGATTTCCTGATGAGAGGACACTGGGTCCCAGCTAGGCAACAATTATCCCGAACGCATTGTTCATCTCAATCAAGATCTGAATTTAAATTTTCGTGACTAAACTGTGCCTTCTTTGTCGTGTATTCCTCAGAATTTGTTTTTAATGCCTGGATAGTAATCCCAGACTTGATAAGAGCGTTCTTCAATTGATTGTCGTAAATCCAAAACTAAAGTGAGAAAAACTGCCCGCGATAAGAACAAAGGAAACTAACACAGAGAGGAGGCAATGAGAGCTCGAGGTAGAAACAAATGAATTGCCAAAAGTGCGGAAAACGTCAGTAACCAGGTTGAGATTGGTGTTTGTTTTGCATCTGATTGGTTGAGAGAATGGCGCGAGTGTTCTAGACCAATCACAGGAGGAAGTAAAGCAAAACCGAAAGTAATCTCGGATTTCTTTCGACTCTCAGTTGAAAATTACTCTGTATCTTGACTATCATCACTTGTTTGATTAGCCTTTGTGAGGTTAATTGGCACAATTATCCTACCTTGTAATCAGGAATAAGAATAAGTCAGTTAAGCCTTCTTTTCGGCTTAACTCAAAGGCCTACGACTTGTGTTGTCAAGAATTTCTTAGGACTCACTGAAATTTCCTTAATCCAAGAATTGGCGTGTTAGAAGACTGATACGCTTACGATCTGTGTGCTCTACTACAGCTCTTTAAAACAACCGGTTTACCATTGTGGAAGTCGGAAATGATTATCGTAGCGAGGAATTCCACAATTTCGTTGATTAAAAGGTTTTTGTGCTGCTAAGAAGGTTGACATGACAGTCAGTTCTCAAACATGATGTATAATTTCATGTAAGTTAATTTGATCGAAGTGTCGAAATGTGTTTTATTAAAAAAATTATATTCCATCAACTAAAGGATGGAATAGGGGTGGACATTTTTCCGGGCTCTATCACGTGATAAAGCCACGCGAGATGTCAGGAGAACTCGAGGAAAGGTTATAAATCACGATTCGAGGGCAAGTGATTTATAAGCTTTACGAATAGTACGATTTTTTTGAAACCGTGTGGCTGTGTGTTCCCGACCATCGCGTCCTATTTAGGTTGAAATTTTCAACACTTACTGGTCATACGATAGAATACTTATTGACTGAGTTTAGTCGGGCCGGACGGGAAAATATTTGGCTCTCCGTCATGAGGGACGGACCTAGCTGCGCTCGGTCTTTACTTCATGACCCCGAGCAAACTATTTTCCTGTTCGCCCCTCTAACTTAGTCTATAGGGACATAAACAGAAGTAAAAGACCACAGATGACGTCAAATAGTACGTGTTAGAACAAAACAGTGGAAGAGGCGTAGTCGAGGCTCCTCCGGAAACAATAAATTTAGATCGGGAATTCGGCGTTTATTTAGGTTGAAACATAAAGGGTTTCTAAACATGATGAAAGAAAACTCCAAGGAAAGTATAATGATCGACGAAATGGTTACCTCAGGGAATTATATTCGACTTTGAGCATGTCCGATAGTTGAAAGGCGATCTCGTATCTTCGGAGAATTAGACTATGAGAATGTCTGGAAACTTCCGTAAGATTTTAATGCGGAGAAGAGGGATCCATAGCAATGGTAACAAGGCGGGCCGATATCTCACTACTACGCTTTCTTAACTACATGAAGCTGTCTTGAACCGCTGGACAGATCGTAGAGTAAATCCGTAGGCAAAATCTCCATATGACTGTTCACGTGGGTTGAGGCGCCTGTTCGAGTTACATCATAGGCGGCCCAAGCATACTGTGTATGACTTTGGGTTGTAAAGTTTATTAACGGCAATAACTAACTTATTTAAAAGATCGAATTTCAAGCGTACGTGTGGGCCGTCAAAAAAAGGACAAATTTAAAAAAAAAAAAAAATTCAAAAGGATAATAAAAGCGAGGAATAAAACATGTGAAGTCTCCTTACCTTTTTCCGTAGCCGCTTTGTTGCCAACGGTCGTTTTAACGCTGTTTTGGCGACTTGCTTTGTAAAGCGTGCGGCGTCACCAATCAACTGTAAAATAGGAAAAATTATTTTAAGAAAAAATTGAAAAGGAAAATGAAAGCGAGCAATATATCGTATGAAGTCTCCTTTCCTTTTTCCGAAGCTGCTTTGTCGTTTATGGTCCATTTGAATTTAGTCAGTTCCTTGTACGTAAAACATTCCTTCATACTGTTAATAGTTTAGATGGGTAGTAATTATAAACGGTAACTTTTTCAACCTTCTCACCACATTAAACTGCGAAGTATACGTATTTTAACCAAGGACATTGAATATGTACAAGGACTAAGATTAAATGTAACAAACCATAAGAATATATTGTTATATTTCACTTTGTTCTTAGCCTTTGACAAGAGAAGATTATCTCTAGCTTCAAATGATTTTGTCAAAAGAAAAGGAACCATGGCCTAGAACACACGTATCCGCTTGAATACCAAAGAGCGAAGGGATGAGGTAAATTTTAATAGTTAAGCCTGTCTGAGATTGTAAGCTTCAACAAAGACAAAAGACTTACATGTCGGAGAGCTTCTGTATATCAGCGCCAGGCTTAGTCCCAGTTGCCACTGATGCTGATAACACTAAACCTATTCTAGTTTACCTATCATCTGCTTTACCTCTGTCGGATTAAAAATTAGAGACTTAAAACCAGGACTTCTGTAGAATCCGGCAATGGGGTCTAACGTGTAGCCCCAGGGTCCTGCTTTCATCTAACATGTGAATCAATGGGAACACTGAATAACATAAAGTCCGTTTGATAATTGAACGTGTCACCACCGTCAATTCATCCAATCTCGAATTGATAGAAGAATTCATTCAGCGGCAAAAACCTTTTGTGCAATGTAAAAACGACTCTGCTCTTCAAGACATCAGAATAGCTTCTAAGATCAAGTTGGATAACTAACTCTAACCCTAACCTCAAGCGATGTATTGTCCTTGTGCACAAATGCCTGATGAGCCAAAAGCCATCTTTTACCAAGAATTGCGGTTTAAAAGTTTAAATGAAGTAGGGAGGACAAATAATTCTACTACAAAGATGTGCTTAAAAACGGCGGTATACGGAGAACACTGACATTGATGACAACACTTGAGTAAGAGATGTAATGTATAGAACTGAAAATGGTGCATCATTATGAAAAATTTAATATCATGGAAGAAGAAGAATCAAGAAAACAACTTTCAGAAGTTAGAGAGATCTTAGAAGAGCTCCTGCTTAAATTAGGGTCAGGATTTGGAAATCCAAGCAGCTCATCCCCAATAAGAATTCTGAGGAGTAACCCCTCCCCCCTGGAGAGGCATGGGAACATCGTAGAACGTCTAGGATCCCCTGAGGCCCAGTTGATCCTTTTCAAAAGTGGGCGTCGTTCAGACACCCCTGTGCCCTGAAAAAGTATATTTACATTGGTGTGGAAGTCTTTGTTTTAAGCACTTTGTTTACTCGTTGACCTTGAAACTCGAATATTTCTTTGCTTTCTAAACTGAGAGGTATAAATATATTTTTAGCGGCCTGTCACCGTTCTGCGATTGTTTTCCTCTCCAGCACCTCAATTTCTGCTCGAGAGCCTCTCGAACAACTTTAATTAGTTTCGAGTGATGCTATGACATTTATGTACTTTGAAACAAGCCGGATAAAATTTATTGTTTTATCGCAGCGAGGCGGGTCCAGCGAGGCGGGTCCAGCGAGGCACCCCAGAAAGTAGGAAGATGTAGTGCGGGCACTGACGAAAGTAAGGTATTGGCGAGTCACGCCG